CCCCCCCCCCCCCCCCTACCCCCAAGTGGGAAAGGCGTGCCAGCATTCGAGTTGCTCCGAGAAGGGGTTGGTAGCTGTCGCGAAATATCGAAGGAGGTCCGACCCCATAACGATTCGCTCAGGTGTTTCGTGTGTGTTCGCCATGCACTCATCAAACGTGCTAACAGGTTAGGCCTGTTGTTGTTGTTGCTGTTTTGAGAAATCCATGCTGTACGGGGGTGACGGGCCAACAAGCGTTGTCCCTTGCAAACCAAGCCAGTACTGTGTGTTCCCCGTTCTGGGATTCCGAGGGTCTTGTCGACTATCGCAAGCTGGCCTCTCAAAGACCTCTTTTCGTGTAAACACATAACGACCCTCGGCTGCACTGCACAGCCGGGTCACCTTGTCCTTAGCCCGGCTGTGAGGATGTTCGCGCCTGTCGACCATAAGCGCTAATCACGTCCTGCGAGCATTTCCCCGCGAACCATATCAAGCCTGCATGCATGTTTATGCTTCCATCGAGGCAAAGCCTTCGACGTTGGAACCGGCTTTGGTTCACATCTTGGTAGCCAAGTGTCGATTTTCTCCGTCCATAAGGCAGACCTGTGCGGAGTAGTAGCACCGGCACATCCTCTGCCATCGGCACGTTAGCCATTATTTTTCCATAGATTGGCAGGGGTAATGAGAGGTTCCGAATCGCTGATGATCTGATGAATGGTGAAATGCTTGCTGCTGCTCATGGAAAAAGGAGACATCGGAGGAGTTTTTTCTTCTTTCTCGTGCCCTCAACGAAGCCACGCCAAAACATTGCAACCCATTGAAAACTCTGAATATTGTTGCATGCGGGGAACGTGCTGACCCGTAGAATTTACCAACAGCAGTTTCAAGCCAGTCGATACAACGTACTTGCGGTGCAGCACGCGGGCCGTCCGATCACTCGTCCCGCAACCGCCCTATTTCTCTTTCTAGAACGATTTATCGCTCCACACCTCCCACGCAATACCCATGAGTTGAGAAATGGCCCGATCGGCTCCTCTCGCACTCGAAAATAAGACCTGTAGTGGAAGAGTGGAAGGCAAGCAATGGCTCGCGAATCCACAACGCGGCGGAATTATTTTCGTCCATCAGGGTTTCCAGTATTGTCGCAGTCCCGCGAAGGCTTTTTTCTGTGATGAAAAAACAGACCATGGAACTACTGACAAATTCCTAGTGAAAACCAGTGGGTCCATGATTTCGATTGTCCACACGTTTTTGGTGGCGCAGGTCTTGGCACAGCAGTAGTAGCTTGCGCTCCCGCTCAACACATCTTTATCATGGCCCCCGTACCTAAGAAGCTCGCAGGGGCGTCTGCCACGGAGAAGCGCGCACGGAAGGCCCGGCCTTCCCACAACAAGGGGGTGAGTTTCGACCGGCCATGGCTTTTTGCAGGGATGGTTGCATCCCTTGACTGCCTCTGACCGCTTGTTGGTGGTGTGGAGGGTCCATGACACCGGTTGAGTGTAACTCAAGGGGTCGAGGAGCTTGAAAGTTGTAAGGGTCTGCTCCCGTTCGACAATGTTGGTGGCGGTGATGGCGCCTTTGCAGTATCTGTCGTTTCTGGTGATATTTTCCATTTCGTTGGTTTGAGCAATTGGTGGAGAGCCGATCACAGCGAAACAGATCACAGCGAAACAGATCACAGCGAAACACAAACATACCGCAGCGAGCGTGCAGGCTGTAGGTCTACCTACTGCTGCTGTGCACACCATCTACATCCCCGGGTGGGATTCTCAGATTGGTTGGATGCGAAACGTGGCTCAAATAGAATTGATCACCAGAAGCTGCGTGGTAACAACGTGGTGTCGGTCTCGAAAATCCCGAGCATGACGCACAATACCACACCCCGTGTGGGGGTCAGCTTGGCGCCCGGTTGCCTCTCAACAGGGAACGGTGCTTTGGAAATGTCCTGTATAAAACCCCGTGGTTGTCAATTTCTAGCACGTCCCATCTTTCCAGCTTGTCCAGAGAAACAGAGACAACCTGAAGTGTTGTTGAAAAAGAATCGAGCTTCAGAAAGTCACATCAGCGCTCGCGGAGGAGGGGGTGGTATTGGGCGTAGAGTTGATCAGCAGTCCCTTTTCACGCGCCCGCCAGACATAGATACACACGCCGCCCTCGTTCAGAAAGCTAGAGACCGAGACCATGAATGCACGGGGATATGGCAGTGGTCGCGGAAACAGCCGCGCACTTTTTGGCACCAAAAGCAGTTGACCTGAATCGGAACTCACGAGGCTGTCCGGGAAAAAATGTAACCGTCACTGCATTGTAGCGGAGTCTTCGGGATCTTTCCATTGCCGAACAAGTCCAGCCGCTTGTGCCACTCCGCATTGAAACCCTCACGGATGCGTCGATCTGGCTGTAATCATCACAGGCACACCTTTGGGTACAAGGCCTTGCAGTTTCATGAACCTTTTGTTCTGTCTCTTGGTACACTCATGTTTTTGCCACGAGCCGATCAAGGTTGGAGCGGTTCCGCATTTCTCCAAATGAACCGTAAATCATCCGATTTTTTCCTGTTTGGTGGTGAAAGAAGCGGCGGATAAGTCTTGTCGTTCAAAGCGAGAGCTCTCGGTAAACACCGCTGACACGCCCCATGATAGTCAAAACCGCTACTGCGCAGAGCACCAAGCAACATGATTCCATTGGAATTTTTTCACCGTCTCACAGAACACTCTACTGATGGCGCTCGACTCTAGACGGTTCGCGGAAGGGCGGGGGGGGCGAGGCACAAGGCTGTGCAGGATTTGACGGAGTTAGGAAGGATAGTGCGACAGAGTTTTACTTCGTCCCCAAGTTTTTTTGGAGAGGGAGATCCTGTGCCCACTGATGAGAAAGAAACAGCTAGACTTGGCTACATGGTACATGGCGTGGAGAAAAGGCTGCCTTGAAAGTTTGATGGCGGTCCACGCGCGAAACTAGTCATTTTGCTACAGAGGGAAACCAGAGTCCCCAAAGAGCCTCTTCATGCTTTGGTGCTCAACTTGGAGTACACATTCCCAATATGACTCTTTTGGAGTTCGTTTGTCGCCCGCCTGCGGCATGCGCCACTGTTTTGAACATGTGACATTGTCGTTAGCTCCTGTCCCCCGCTGCGTGTCCACGCTACAGTATTAGGGCGGCGTAACCGTTTGCGTTTTGCGTGGACCCCGCGTTGTACGTGTTCCCGGTGAATCACCCCGACCGCCCGCTCGTGTCGAGCATGGGCAACCGAGAGTTTATTGTAGCGCACCGCCGTGGTGAAGAACTTCTATATCCCAACAATTTCATCTCATGCGCAGATAGGAGTTTGACGAAGAACCGAAAGTAGCCCACGTGTACGCCCACTTGCGCTCGAAGGCTCCGCGTATCCTCTTTTTGGCAACCGAAAATTTTGCGACCTTGTCGAGACCGCCCCGGTCTCGCAGCGTATGCTGCCCTGTCCGCTCTTGTTCCGCCGCTGGGGCGCTGTACTGTAGCTCACCGGTTTTTGCGATCGAATGCTGCCTGAGCCCATCTCGCGCTGCAAGTACAACGGGGACGACGTTTCTGGCTTGATATTGACAGTACGGCAGGCGCTCTTGCTTACAAGTCGGTGTTGTTTCGAACCCCCGGGTAGTTTGCTCCCCTTTTGCGCTTGCCGCTGACCTTTGTTCATTACAAGAGCAAGAAGTACGTTTACCAGGCCCTCTGCATGCGGCGCTCCAAGCGGTACATGCAACTCCCCAGTTTGTCTTCAAAATTGCACCTGTTTCAGTTTCTGTCGCATGGGCAAGAACAAGATTCACACCCTGTACAACTGTTGCTAAACAACTGATCTAGCAGTACGAATTCCACAACGCCCACCCCTCGTCCCCCGTCCCCCGTCCCCCATAATCCCTTCGTTTTTGTCAGCGTCTCGGCAACCGCGTCAAGATGGTGCGGGAAGTCGTCCGCGAGGTGGCGGGCTTGATGCCCTACGAGAAACGCATCCTCGACATGATCAAGACGGGCGGCGCGTCCGCGGAGAAGCGCATCTACAAGTTTGCCAAGCGGAGGGTGAGTGCATAGCTTGGTTCATTTTTTTCTGTTTTAAGGGCATGCGGCGTATGATTTTTTCTCTCTACAAGTTTGCCAAGCGGAGGTAAGGGGCGTGGTTCAGTTTTTTTTTTTTCTGGTGTACATTACATTAGATAATTAGTTCTCTACGTGTTTTATAGAGGTGAGCGTGGTTTATTCTTGTCATTTCAAGTACACATCACGAGACCATCTTATCTCGACAAGTTGGCCAAGCAGAGGATGAGGAGCGCGGTTTTGACGTGTCTTTCCTCGAGTGAACAACATTCGCTATTATATGTCTACAAATTTGCCGAGCAGAGGGTAAGGAGCGCGGTCCGACATTATGTTTTCAAGTACACATGTAACCATGAATTCACGTGAAACTCACGGGAATGTACCGAAAATCCTTGCTGTGGAGCTCTCGATGGTTGCCAATGTCCTCAGAATGTGTGCCGTGAGAGGAAATACTTGTCACGAGGAACTTAATGGATAGGATAGTTCAATTGTGGTGCGGCTGGTTTCATCATTGCCATTTTTTGTTGCGACACCGACGAGCGACGTGAACTACTCTGCTCCAGTTGCATGTTGTTCTTGCTGGAAAAACAGTCGTAAGCAATACGTTAATGCTGCCAGATGAAAACGCGCAAGTGTCGTATTGTAACGAGTATGGCACCTGGACTTTGTTTTTGAAAGGTGTACGTATCTCGTGTCGGTAGCACCGCAATCGTGGTTTCCAGTTCCTGTGGCTGTTGACGCCATGGTATATTTTTCGCAACACCTGAGATCCCTCAACGGTGCACAGGCCCGACACGTGTATGCATATGCGCCGAGGCTGTCTTTGCCCCCGTTCGTGGCAATTGCCTTTCTTTTTGTCGCCTTGCGAAGGTTGCATGTGTGACACCTGTCTCGGACATGCATGTTTATCTGTTTCTGTGGATGTCGCGTCTTCGGCAACCGTTGGCCTGGATGTCAGGAACACGTTCTTTGGTTAGAGGCAATAGCCGGCTGTGTTTGGGCGAATATATGCGGGCGTCTGTCTGGTTCTATTTTGTCCCGGACCTACATGTTAGATTTCTGTCCTTATCCCGGTAATCTGGAGACCGCTTGCACGCTTAGTAGGTAAATGCGGACAATCTCAGCCATGCGGTGGCTCGCATTTTTTTTTCCCCTTCCCCCCCCGCAGGTGTTTGCCATCGGGGTTGGGTTTTCGTCGCTTGGCAACGACGTTGTAAAACAAGCCAATTCACTTCGTGAACTCGGCAACCAGGTTACCGTTTTTTTTTTTTGCGGTAACCGTGATGGTGGTCGCGCAGATCATGTTGTGCGGGGTGAACCCTCACTCCGCGCAAGGGGGATGATCGCACCACGTTGTGTTAAAATGGTCAAGCACCCTCGAGGCAGTTACACAGTGCTTACAACTGTCTCTGGAAGTGAAAGCACCAGAAAATAAATTAAGTCATACGCAGCTGTCATCCGTACGCAAGGAAGTAAGCACAAGATGCCGAACACCCTTAGCAGGATGCAGCGCACCCTTCATGCGACTCGCCGAATATCTCACGGCGCTTCGCGCTTGGTGATGTGAGAGCCTGGTCCGGTGAGAACCCGGCGTGCTCCGTCCCTCCTTTGTAGGATTGCGAAGTCAATGGTCTAACGACTACGGCATGCACGACTATGAGTACACCCCCCTTCCCTAACACAACGGGTCCATACTTGCACAAGAATCCAAGATATAATATATATAATCCATGAAATATTCTCCTGCTACGTAGATTTTTTGTTTTTCTCCCATCATTGGACTCTCTCGTCTGCCCCTCTGGCCCCTATCCTCCAGTTCTACTAGCTAGACGACCCAACCGGGGTCACATAGGAGGGGGGGGCTGGACCCTCTCCTGCGGTTCCTGCCTGTGGTATTTTGATCGCGAGAAGGGTACAGCAATCCCTTCCCTCGCGACTTACAAAGTCGATCGTGGTTTACTAACAAGGAGTCCTGCAGCGCGTCACTTCCAACGGAGACCAGGATTTATTTAGCGAGAAAAAAACTCATTCTGTCGGGACTCGAACCCATGACCTGGCCCTTAGCAGGCTGCGAGGCTACCCACTAGACTACCGGGGCGACCGGTTTATGTATCGGTGTGACTCCTGACATTAATTATAACCGTTTTGTTGTTATTGCTACATTGAAGTACCATATGTTGGCATGACCCTGGCTGGCGAACGCCGCAGACTATTCAGGGAAAGCAGTGAGGGGATTGTCGGACCTCTCCTCCGGCTTCTTGCCGCGAACGATTTATTCTTTGCGAGTAATTGGTCGGCTGTTACCCCTGTAGCGAAGCAAGTGCGGCGTTAATCATGACCATCCATCCCTCCTCTTCTCCCTCTTGCTCCTCTTGCACGCCCCGCGTCTGCTGTTGTTGTTTGCAGCTGGGCACCCACAAGCGGGCTCTTGCCAAGCGCGAGGACATCAAGGAGGTTTACTCCAAGATGCGCGCTCGCCAGGCGATGAACTAAATCGCTTCGACGAACTGAGTCTCGTTATTCTGTGCTTGGAGGATCCATCGCGATTGCCTTCCGTAGGCTACGTATCTGTGTCGCGGAACGCCGTCTGTTGATACCTTTTGTAAACACGTCTGCTGTGTCGTCCATGCCGGTGCGGTCTGTTCTTTTCGGCGCCGCACGCCACTGCCAATTTGGCAATGTCCGTGTGGTAACCGCTCTCGGGCGGGGGGTGCAGGCTCGAGCCTAGGGTTCAGCTCACCCACTGGGCGATTACTGTAAGGTCTTTTACCAAAAGTGGTTCGGTGTCAAAGACTTTGATCCGTGTCGGGGACCGCAGTAACGGGACTTGGGTGTGGAAGCCGGGGGTCTTTTGCATAAGATTCACGGGGGTGAGCTAAACTACTACGTCTGCTGTGCTGCGCTTCGGCGCAGCGGTGCAACAAAAAAACGAACAAAAGAACCTGGAATTTGTTCTCATGCGCCGAATGAAACGCGCGAAACGTCGGTCATCACTCGCTTTGCATCGGAAGTCGGCGCTGGTTGTTGAGCAATCAGTGTCCGTTTCGTTCGGTCCTCCCGTTCATACTTGGTTGTTGCTGTTTTGTATCAGCGGAGCCTGTGCTTTAGTCGAGCTCCGAGCGTTGTTTGCAAAATAACTGCATAATGCACAACTAAAGAAAGCAGGTTCCCGCAAGAGACCATGGAACTCGGTTGGTGCGAATGTCGATCGACGGAATGACATGCGGTAGACCTACGCTGGCGCCCATTCGTTGTTGTCTTCACCAAGGGTCTACGTGTTTTTTTTAGCAAGACACGCACTCACATGGAGGCCTACTGAGCGAACATCGGGGTCCGGGTGGGGAGGGTGGTTGGGGGAGATTCTAGTTTGCACTCTTTTACTTCGTTATAATGGCGGAAGGGGCACCGTGGATAAACCCATTCACGGTGAGGGAGCATTGACTTCATTTCGTGAAGGAAGCCCTTATTCTAGTTCCTACATAAAGCCGAGGAATGAATAACGTCCTCCAGCGGGGCGGGGGTGGTGGTGCGGGGTGCCATGTGTCCAGCATTTTCACGTCCAGTAGACCCACGCATCAATACAACACCCAACAACAATTTGCATGTTGACAACACACATGCACGCGTTGTGACGTCGACCGCAGGCACATTGGTTCACAGATTCACAGCGGCGTCATGATTATTTTGTCGAGTCTTTCAACGTTTGCGGCCGTTACTCCCCAGCAGGACCTGTCTGCACTGCCTGAGAGAAAATGAACATTGTGAACAACAACCATGGATCACCCACCACTACGGGCATGCCTTCTTGGTGACCGGATGCATGATGCGTGGTATGCAACCTTGTAGCTAGTGAGAAATTCTGAACATAAAAAAGCCGTAGCAGCAAGTAGCAGCTGGAGTCCAGTAAGTTGTCGACAGACAGACGACACTGATTGCGACGTTTCCTTAAGAAACATTTTGTGGAACACACGACTCAAACCAGTAAACGACGGCTTTCGCCCCCACAGAAGAACTTCCCAACATTCCGTCATGCCTCGAACGCGTTGTCTTCGCGTGACTGCATGTATGTAGACTATTTGTCCATGTAGGTGTCTAGCCTAATATTTTCTGAACACAATCAGGTCGCCTGCACACAAATAAATGCCGCGACCCAGTGTCCTCTAGAAAGAACAAGGTTGTTGTTGTTGTTGTTGTTTCTCACATTATTGGCTCTATAGTCCACAAAAAATGGGGAGCCCGTGGTCTCAAACCCGGCACATACGACGCCGCGGGGAAACAAAACAAAAAAAATTCTCGATGCTTTCGAAATTTGTCATTCCTATTTTGCGTACCCCCTTTGCTCGCCAAGGGGGAGAGGAAGAGCGGAGACCAGGCAGGGCAACAACACCACACACGCCCCCGGTCTACTCCTTACGATCAGTAAAAACATGAGCCACCCAACAGACAGAGACAAATAAACTCTGTCTGCTCCCCACAACCGCTGATAGTACCACACCGGCTTGTTCATACTGAAACCACGAGAGAACCCCACAAGGCCCATCAACATTATTAGTATTGCCATTTGGCGAAACACCCGGGCCACCAAAGAAAAAACCCATTTCTCGTCTCTCGCTACTCTCTGTTCCCCTGACCTTCCCATCGCACTGCAGAAAAATACGCATGTACCCGGACACCAGGACACCCACATATAAGCCATATTATATGTATGCGTATCCACTTATCAATCAGACTCGTCACGCACGTAACGGGGAAGCGCGTAGCACCAACATAGCCACACACAGCAGCCAGGAGTGCACTCCCCCAACCATGCAACGGTCCGATACACCCAACAACATGCGTCCTGCATATACTACCTGAAGTGCGATGTACACCAATCCCGCTCAAAATAAATGGGACGAGCACCTCGGAACTGCGCCCAGCATAGGCACACGCAACCCCGACTGCGGCTACACAGTGAGTCCCCCCCGACGGACACTCACCCTGAACACAACGCCGCTGCTCCTATTTCCATGTCCACTGACACCCCCAAAAGCAAGGGTGGGTGGGTGGGAAAAAGAAACGTCACGGCAGAAAACAACCCTTGGCCACCACACGTACACGTGCTCTCGCTCGCCCCCGGTAAACACGGCGAAGCGAGTAGAAACGTCACAGCAGAAAACAACCCTTGGCCACCACACGCACACGTGCTCTCGCTCGCCCCCGGTAAACACGGCGAAGCGAGTAGACTGAAAACAGAACACCAACACGCTCGTCCGCTTCCTGCTTTCTGATTGGCCAAGGTTTATTTCTGCCGCTTCTCACAAAACGCAGATTTCCCTTACTTCGTCAGACAATCTTTCGCTTTTCTCGATGCTTTCGAAATTTGTCATTATTATTTTGCGTACCCCCTTTGCTCGCCAAGGGGGAGGGGAAAAGAGCGGAGACCAGGCAGGGCAACACCACACACGCCCCCGGTCTACTCCTTACGATCAGTATAAACATCAGCCACCCAACAGACAGAGACATATAAACTCTGTCTGCCCCCAAACCTAAGGCTGGTGCGCCATACTGATCCCCCCCCCTCCCCTTTTAAAAACTACAGTACATATATTACGACTTAGGCTGTGTCTTATCAGGCCGAAAAAATACGTGACTTATTTTACCGAACAGTAACTTTTTTCACGGAACCGTAACTAGGGTTTCCAGTGGTTCTTATCGGCAGAAGGCGCGAAGGTGCGTATTTTTTCAAAATTTACGGAATTCGCCACGGCTCGACGTACATCCTCCTCGTCGATAGCTCGCCGACGGCGCTTCTCCCGGCGTTGCGCTGCGATCCCCCTGGGATCTTGACGCTTCCCACGCTCAGGCATGGTAGTGGAGTTGCCTTGGGAAGCACTTTGGGGTGTTGTTGGTGCTGTCTAGGTGTGATGTGTTGAAGACAGCACGCGTGACCGGTGTCTGCTCCGGTAGTCGCAAAAAAGCGGGAAATTTTTCACCGAAACGTAAAAGGAGCAAGCCCAGAAAAAATACGCTTCGCTCTTTTTACGGAAACGTAGAGGAACGCCTCCATATATTTCAAGACAATACGGTTTCGTAACCAAATACGTATTTTTTTGGCCTGATAAGACACACCCTAAACCACAATCGACTTCGTAGGTCGCGAGGGAAGGGATTGCTGTACCCTTCTCGCGATAAAAATACCCCAGGCAGGAACCGCAGGAGGGGGTCCAGCCCCCCCCTCCTATGTGACCCCGGTTGGGTCGTCTAGCTATTATTTAATAGTAGAAGTGGCGGATAGGGGCCAGAGGGGCAGACGACAGAGTCCAATGATGGCAGAAAAAAAAAAATATATATGTATATATATGCATAGGGGTACACAACAACACAACACACAATGTTCCCTCAGTTCATCCTTCTCTCGCTACCATCCAGAAATATCTGGAGGGGAATCGCTTACCTAAGCAGCAACTGCTGCCGGAATGTCGCTCTCTCATTTCCACGCGCGCCGTGGATAGCTCGTCTTGCCGCTCTACAGCAGCAGTGTCGTGCGGCGGGTTAAACTCGCGGCGGTTGCTGTGCCCCGAGTCCGAGCATCTACAGATAGTATAGCTGCTTGCCTTGGTTACGAAAGGAATGACACCAACCTGGTCGCTATTCGTCGTGGCGTGCTGCGGCCTCTGGTCGCCTGTGTCAAGGCTAGCTAGTTCGTCACACGAGNATTTCCACGCGCGCCGTGGATAGCTCGTCTTGCCGCTCTACAGCAGCAGTGTCGTGCGGCGGGTTAAACTCGCGGCGGTTGCTGTGCCCCGAGTCCGAGCATCTACAGATAGTATAGCTGCTTGCCTTGGTTACGAAAGGAATGACACCAACCTGGTCGCTATTCGTCGTGGCGTGCTGCGGCCTCTGGTCGCCTGTGTCAAGGCTAGCTAGTTCGTCACACGAGAGCGATTCAGGGCCAAACAAAGCCATACATATTTCTGCAGGGGGCTCGCTGGTTCGGATGCCCCCCACCCCCTCTTCCCATCTGTCTGGCGGGATTCATAACGGGATCTGAGAGCTTTGCTGTATCCTGTAGCTGGTACACACATAGCACTCGTGAATCCCCGTACAAACTCACACAAAATCCCAAATTGAGTAGTGTATGCGTTCATGTAGTATGCATTGTGCCAACGTATCCTGGGCTCGTATATCTACATACCTGTGTTGGAGATGAATTTGTTGCGTCTTTGTCCAGCCGGAGAAAAAAATAAAATCAAGTATTAGACTACAAGTCCAGTTATCACGGACCGTCAAACCGACACAATCTTACAGCCAGGAGGTCTGGCCTTCGGTTGTGACTGTTCGTATATGTCCTTTACTTGGAAGGGGAAGACGATTAATCTCTTGTATCAGACACGCAAGGGGAGTAGGGAGAAGTGAAGCCCTCTTTGGATTTCGAGGGGTCCCCGCACATGCAACCATTTCAAGGTGTACATATGCCCCATCTGCGTGCCCTCTGTTGTTGCCGGTAGATCTAACCAGTCCGTATCCAAACACACGAACACCCTCCCCGATTTGCACGCTAATGGCAAACCTGACGTGGGGCATGGATACCCCTGATTGACCAAAGGGACTCAAAACAACAACAGGCTCGAGGGAAAACCCGGCCAACCGGATCAGAAACCCTCGTCTAAGACCACTGTTTGTGGCAAAAAGATCTTTTATCTCCCTTCTTTCGACAAATGTTGACTTTTTCGACCTTTTGGGCAGTGTGCCTTCCGACCGAGTGCGAATCAGCTGTTCGACCTTTGAGAACAGTCACAGCTTTGGCTGAGATGTCTACAGATCGCCTACATGTTTCGCGAGGGTCCACGTTTGATTTTTTCAAGGTGCGCAATTTTCACGCACGATTTTTCCAACACCAGCTTTTGGACAGATCTTGGCCAAAGATTTGCTCCGAGGTGGCCTTTCGGCCGAATCTTCAACATCTTGCTCTGCTGGAAAAAAATCAAACGTGGACTCTGGCGAAACATGTAGGCGATCTGTAGACATCTCAGCCAAAGCTGTGACTGTTCTCAAAGGTCGAACAGCTGATTCGCACTCGTTCGGGAGGCAGACTGCCCAAAATGTCGAAAAAGTCAACATTTGTCGAAAGAAAGGAAGATAAAAATTGTTTTTCCATAAACAGTGGTATAACACCCTAAATATAGAAAACCGTCGCTATCACGGAGGATTCCAACGGCCGTACTTCCAAGACAAGACCAAGGCAGGACAGATTGAACCGGTCACGCTGATTACACACCCGAAGCAACGCTCTCAGCGTTTCTAGGCTCCAGCCGCGGGTGACGCGCCGGCAAAATGCTTCCTGCGTGACGTACCATGGTCATATATGCCAAGTGCTAAAACCACCACAAACCAAACAGAACAAGAGAACACTGCATCGGTAGGTTCATCAGAGCCTTCCGGTGGTACTCTAACTTCTCTCAAGGACCTTGGTCAGCATGTCCGCGTGCTGCTCTCCAGTCGGAACATACTCTGCAGTGATCTTGCCCGACTTGAATAGCTCGCGAATGAAATGGAACCGCACGTCGATGTGCTTGCTCCTCGCTGAGCTGAACGGGTTCTCGATTAAGGCGAGACCCCCCTTGTTATCCTCAAGGACCTTGATCTTCGCCCCACTCGTCTCGGGCGCTATGAACGACAGAACGCCACGCACAAACAACGCCTCCTTTACGCCCTCCCCGGCTGCCATTTATACTCTGCTTCCGAGGTCGACTGAGCCGTCACTGGCTGCGTCTTGGTGGATGCACACACTACGGTACCACCTACGGTCACAGCTAGCCCGGTCGTAGAACGCCTGCCTACTTCGTTGTCAGCGTAGCTGGCATCGACAAACACGCTTAGGTCTAGTCCTGACCCCCGTACGTAGGTGATGCCGAAGTCCTTCGTGAAGTTCAGGTAGGACATGATCCCCACAAGCGTTCCATATCCTCCCGGCGGGTGAGTGGGCGATCTTCTGGAGCTTCTTCAGAGGCAGGGCTATGTCTGGCCTCGTCAGCTTCGTCCACATCATGCATCCGATCGCCTCCCGCACAGGCTTACCCACCGCGGGCTCGTCATCTCTCTTCGGCCCTAGGTCGGCATCGGTGGCAGCAGGGGTGAAAGCGGTCGTGGTCACATCAAACCGCCTCAGCATACTCTCAATGTATGCTGTCTGGGACAGCTTGGTGAGGCCATTTTCTACATCCATGGCGATAGCACACCCGTCGTACCAGGTACACTCCTCCAGATCTTTCACCGGAAATTTTTTGTTGAGGGAAGCGAACAACTCCTCTCGCTCTCCCTCGTCTGCCGTCACTAAGATGTCATCAACGTAGATCACGATAAGACCTACGACCTCTCCATCCACCACCTTCCGGAAGACACACGGGTCAACCCTGCACTGCTCGTATCCATTCTCGATGAGGGCATCGGCAGCTTCAAACCCCCACTCACGGCCACTCTGCTTTAGGCCATACAGGGCACGCTCAACCTTGACCACCTTGCCGGATATGCTACCACAGCCTTCCGGGAACCTGAGGTATATTTCTTCTTTTAGCTTAGCGTGGATGTACGCTTGCTTCACATCCCAGTGAGCGAGGTTCTTGCCCTTTTCAGTGGCTTCGGCAATCACCGTCTTGATACACGCTGCAGACGGGCACGCTGATGATGAGGGGTAGAAGTCGATGTCGGGGATTCGAGAGAAACCCCGCGCAACCATACGGGCCTTGAAGTCGACTATCAGGCCCTCCTCA